TGCAACCCAGCGCTCAACCGCTGCGCCACCAGGGAGGTCCTGCCCATTTTTTGATTGGGTTGTTTTCTTATTGTTGAGTTGTATGAGTTCTTGGTAGATCTTGGCTATCAACCCCTTGTTGGCGGTATGATATTTTCTACCATCAGTAAGTGTCTTTTTGTTTAAGTGACAGTTTCTCTGGGTAGAAGTTTTTTAGTTTGATGTAGTACTATATTCTATTTATCTATATTCTATTTTGTTTATCTATATTCTATTATCTATATTATCTATATTCTATTCTATATTCTATTTTGTTTTCCTTGCTGTTGTTGACAAATCCACAAAGATATCTCTGAAGCTTATGTCATGGAATGTTTTGCTTATCTTCTAGGTATTTTATGATTTCAGGTCTTGTATCCAAGTGTTTTATCCATTTTGAGTTAATTTTTGTGTATGGTATGAGATAGTGGTCTAGTTTCATTCTTTTGTATGTGGCTGTCCAATTAGTCTTGATGGCCTTTTATTTTTTTTTTTCATGTTTCTGTTTGCTCCCCAAACACAATGGTGTGCCTTATCATTTATTGACTATTTATTGTGTGCATGGTACTTTACATTCATATCTTCCATCTTCTTAATATCCCAGAATGTTGGCAAGATTATTCTTTTGACAGAATGGGAAGATGGAACTCAGGTTAAGTAATTTGTATTACGTTCTTGCATACATCCTGAGCATCTTTTTCTGAAAACTCTTGGAAACAGGGACTTTATCTTTTATGTACTTTTAATAGTATTTAATATGATCAATACTCAGTTGGTATTCAATAATTATCAGTTAAAAGGATAAAAAGATCTTAAAATAGTCTATATTGAAGGCTTGATAATCTGACATTAAGACGATTTTTAAGGGGAAATGTTGTGAGGGAAGCAGCTGCTCTCTGGACTTCCAGGAGCCAGTCTATGAACTTGAGGTCAGCAGCAAAACAGTGTCAAGGTTTGCTTTTAATTCCTTTATTTCTAATCTTGATTTCTTCTTAGCTACCTTTGGTGCTAGAATGAAAAAGGAGAGTATACATTTATTTAAAACTGATTGCTTTTAGTAAGTAATTTCTTTCCAATAAAGTCTTTTTCTCTCTCTCGCTCGCTCTCTCTCTCTTTTTTTTTTTTTTTTTTTTTTTTGCAGGGAGGGAAAGCAGGATGACCACATGAGAAAGTTGTTGAAGGACTTCTGAAGAACAACCATGTGGGTAGTTCCTGAAGGGCAACTTAGATTAAAAATTTGACCATTTCTATAAATTAGTCAGTAGCTCCCCTCCCCCCATACACTTAAAGTCTGTTCATGATGCAAGATCTATCACTGTATGAGATCATAATGGCTGTCGGTTATAGTGACTCAGTAAGCCATTCAGAAAGGACACTGGAAAACTCTAAGATGTACTCTAAATAGCAATCATATAATTATGAAGGTTACCTTATGTTGCGACAGGAATTTTGTTGCCACTTTGTGGCAGGAACTTCATGAGGGACACAGCGGTGGTGGGGCAAGTTTGCAAGGCAGGACTCTGCTACTTGAGCAGAAGTTCTAGTGCCATTTACTGAAAGCATACAGGCTAGTAAAAGCTGATCATTTGACAGTGGTATGAGTAATAAAGTCCGGAGGGTGGGATAGGAATGGGGGACAAAGTTTTATGAGGGGCAGGGAAGAGGACATTGTGACTAAAGTCAGAAGACATTTGCGTCAGCAAAGTATTTGATGTTATCACAGGCAGAGTTATCCCGAGACCACCATGGAGATACTCACGTAATCAGGTCAACAGCGGCCTAGCCATCCTTGGGCCTGCCTCATGATACGAACTATGCTTTGTAGGTAGTCAAGGAATGCTCTGCTGTGATTTGTAGATAGAAAATAGGTCACAGTTGCCCATGAGTGGCCAGCTAGTAGCCAGCTAATAAGAACCCACAATCTTAGTATTTTAGAATGAAGGCTATAGCCAAAAAGTCATGTCTATGACCTTTTCTATAAAATGCACATTGTGTTCTCATATTAGTACATTTTCTTTATTATTGAAAAGGGAATTAGCATAAGGCTTTCAAGTCTTATGTCTGTTTTCCCATTTTCTTTTTTTAAAGATTTATTTATTTATACAAGAATCCGGGTACAGGCCAGATGTGTGGGAGGGTGAGAGGATTCACCAGAGACAGAGCGGGGAACAGGCAGACGACTGAAGTACACTGCTGAGGGGAGCATCGGGTGAGACAGGAGAGGTCCGCCGCGCCATGTGGGTTCCTCCGTGGCTGGCGGGGATCTAACCGGCACTGCAGAGGCTGCGGACAGCTTCTCAGTGCTGCGCTCAACCGCCGGCACCACCAGGGAGGCCCTGTTTTCCCATTTTCTTGATTCAATATCTGTCTTTCTCTTCCATCCCCTGCTAGGTTACAGATGTGCTTAATTCTCACCCATCACTGCCCTCCTGTAGTATCCCTCAGCCTCTCAAAAATTCCTTCTCTAGCAGCTTTCAAGTGCTCCATCCTTAATAAGATGAAAAATGACCCTTGTTTTCAGGACCCATGTTGTGTATTTATTTCCTTTCGTGTGTTAGTTTCCCTCTATTTTTTTCAAACCATTTTGCTGATTGCTTGTAGGGTGCTCCTGTTTTTCAGATGATTCCTCTTCAGTCTCTTTCTTACTTTACTCTTACTACTTCGGTATTGGGATTCCCTCCAAATTGCATTAGTTGCCCTCTTTCTGCACCAGAGGTCTGTTGAACCGCCTAAAATTCAAAGCAAAATTTTGTCTTGTGATGGGACATTTTTCTTCTTTAGGCAAGCGCCCGTAGCTTCCATTATATGCTCAAAAGGCTTGGCCTGTTAGCAAGGTTAAGCGGCCCAGCCCTCATTCCTTCCCTTAGGTTACTCATCCTCTCCTTTGCCTATAGCCACATTTTCATATGCCAGCCACTCCTCAACCCATCTGCAGTTCCTACCGGTGGAGAATGAGACAACGATAAAGAGAAAATCACACTCATAGAAATAGAAGAAACTGTACCGTAAATATTTTTAAAATTTATTTATATATATTTTACATCTTTGCTCATTTTTAAACAATGTTTGCTCCCCCCTCCCCCCCAGGTGTAGTCCCCATAGAATTTCCTCCACCAATTCACCCGTGTTCCGTAAATATTTTACGTCTAGGCCAGCTTACTGAATCCCGCTGAGGACTAGCGGGCTGACTGCTAGGTTGGAGAGCAAGGCAGGATCATTTCTTCCCAGTGTGTCGGGCGGGGCGGTGGGGGTCAGGAGGGGGGAAACCTGGGGGAATAGGGTGGAAACAGGCTGTGTGCGCCAACACCCTCGCTGCTAGGGGCGGAGGCCTGGGCACCTGGTGCCCAGGGTGTGACCAGCGGGAGCGCAGGAGGGAACACCCCAGCAGCCGCACAGCCCACGGTCGCAGCGAAGCCAGCTTCTGGCCCTGCTCTCCACGACTGGAGCCAGAAGCCCCGCCCGGCGCCGGGCAGCGTCGCTGACGGACACCCACCTTCTGTAACCAGGGGCCAGTTCACTATAAACACTCCTCGCTTTTCCCGCCTATCGCTTCTCCCTCCGGGCCAATCAGAAGGGTGGGCGGGACCGTCCTTCGAGGGTTCCACATTTTTTTCAAAAGAAGGCTAGTCCCGGTGCCGCGTTCCGACTGGGGGAAAAACACCGCGGGCCTCGGGGGTGGGGCCCCGGTGACGGGCACCCGGACGGGCCAGTGACGCGCCCCGCCTCCCCGCGGCCCGGCGCCGACGTGGGCGGGACGTGCGCGGGCCCCGGCCAATGGCGGCGGGGCGGGCGGAGGCGGCGCCGCCGCGGGCAGGGTTCGTGTGAGCGGCGCGGCGGGGGAGGTAATGACGGTGGCGGCCGCGCAGGCCGGCGGGGGAGGGGGAGCTGGGCGCTGAGCGCGGCGCTGGCCGGGTCTGGTCGGGTGGGGGACGGTCACGGGGCGACTCCACCCGGGCGGGGGCGGGCGTGAGGCCGCCGTCCGCCCGAGGGGCTGCAGACCCGGCCCCCGCGGGCGTCGCGGCTGGCCCGGCCGTTCCATGTGGCTCCGGCGGGGATGGAGGACTCGGTGGCGGCGGCGGCGACTGCTGCTGCGGCGGCGACGGAGGAGCGGCGCTGAGGAGGGAACCGGGCCAGACCCAGCCCGACAGCGGGATTAGAGGTGTGAGGAGGGGCGGAGCGGACGCGCCGGGGCCGGGGCTCGGGGACCAGCCTGGGGGCTGGCGGCGTCGCCCGGGTGACAGCGGCCGCGGGAGCCACCCCCGCCGCCTCCGGGGGACCCGGCTGGGCTCGCGGCGGGAGGCTGGAGGCCGGCGACCGCTCCCTGAGGAGGGGACGGGAGGGGAGGGGAGCCCCCCACCCCGCGCGTGCACTTGCCCGCTCGGCCACCGCTGCGCGTCGGGCGGGAGTTGCCTTTCCCCCGGGCTGGCAGCCTCGGTGAAGGGGGCCCGAGGGGCCTGGCGCCGGGGTGCCGCCCGCCCGCCCTCCGCCGCGGGACGCGCTCCGCCGCCCCGTCCCAGCCCTCCACCGCGGGCCGAACGACAGCGTTCCTCCCGGCTTCCTGACTTGTTCCGAGCACATAGTCTGGGACTGGAGACTATTAATTATCGGCTGAAAAACACCAAAGTTTATTTAAAATCCTCCGCCCCTCCCTCTGACTGGCAATGGACATTAAACAGCATCCCTAGACTTTCCCGCTCTGCTCGCCCTTCTGCGATGCTTAGGACGGGAGCAGGGCCCGGCTCGCACCTCTTGGTGGTGGTTGCTGCTGGTTACCTGCTGTGTTGCGCCACGTTTTCGGTGTGAATTTTAATTTCTTCTTAGTGTCGTGCATCCCTGATGTTACTGGCTCTTGAGGTTGCTGTTTTGTTTCATTGTTTGAAAAACATGCAGGGTACTGGGGTTGTCTTTTGCGGTGTTATCTAATAGGGGTGGTTAGTCACTTCTGCTTCTCTCACATTTTTTCTCTTTGTTTTTCTTTTCAGCCCTTCAGAATACACACCATATAGCTCCCGAGTTGGAATGGTGATGTCTCCATGAGGGAACCTCCTCTCACTCATCGTGTCATGCGTATCATACTGTTCTTCACTGGGCCATTCATCTAAAATGGGATTTACCCTGTGAATCAGGGAGAAGACTTGTGGACCCCAAACAGCATTTCAAGTTGTAGTTGCGTTTTTTAAAGTATAGACATAGATGCAAAACTCCTTTGCTTTGGACCCTCTGCTTTGTTAAGGCTGCTGTGTTGCAAACCCAGAATTGCTCCAGTGTACTGACTGGTCATCATGGCTTCAGTTTGGAAGAGACTGCAGCGTGTAGGAAAACATGCATCTAAGTTCCAGTTTGTGGCTTCCTACCAAGAACTGATGGTGGAGTGTACCAAGAAATGGTAAGACATGCCTGGGGGGTAGAGTTTGCTGTGCTGTGGCCTAAGCTTACAGTGGCCTAAACTCTGCTTCTTCTGAGGACGGATTTACCTTTCTCTCGTGCACAAGTGTGCAGAAACTGGGCGAGGTGCAGATGACGCTAACAAGTACTGTGGTGTGCTGCAGGTACTGACCCTGTGGGTTTTAATTACAGAACTTCAGTGCCGCTCAGAGACCTGTAAGAGCATACTAAGTTCAGTAAAGTTGGTCTCTAGGATGTTCATCTTTGGTGTTAGAATAAGTTTGTGGTTTTTTAAATCAGTTTAAGGGAATAATGGCTATTGAAATAAATATAAGCATATATGTATGTGTTTAATGTAACAGTCATGTGTGAGTGTTAATATAGAAATCTATGTACTTGTGGGGTGGTGGTAGTTTTATTTTGTTCTTGAGTTTTCATTTTTCTTAGCTTAGGATAAAGAATTTTTTATTATTTGAATACTGGAATGCCAGTCCACACAATGTTAGAAATTCTTTTGTTATATGCTTAGTCAGGCAACTGTGTTTTATTTTAATTGCCTAATGGGATACATTTCTTGGCGGACTTAAGGAAGCAATTAGTAGTGCTGGTCTTTGATTTCCTTCTTTTCCACTTGAGCAAAGTAAATTTAGGACTTTCTTTTCACTGTTCTGAATGATAAGAGGAATTCTTATTTAGTGAGAGAAAAAAAGTTAATCTTAAGCAAATGGTCTTTTGGGTTTTGATTTATTGCAGCGATTAAGCAGTACTGCTGCAAAAATAAGTCCATTTCATTGTCCACAAGGACTATAATCTCATGTTGTATTAACCTCTCTCTTTAACATCCTCTTTAGTAGATGGGAGAAAAAAATAGCTTGCTCTAGCACTCTTATAGCATATTTTAATGTGAAAAAAACTAGTTGGAATACTTATTTGGAAATAATTTCTGAATACTTTTCATTTGAACTTGTTAGGAATGTTATTTTTATGGGCAGTTCAAGAAACGCTGCACTGTGGCTCTAGAGTTGAATATGACATAATTCTCTACCCTCAAGGAGCTCACAGTCCAGGGTGATTACAGTAATGAATTCACTGTGATAGGTGCCATAATATAAATGTGTATGAAGCAAGGGTTTTAATTTCATTTAACAGTTGGCTATCCTAGGGGACAGGTTATTTAACTTCTCAGTGATTTCGTTTCCATATCTACAAGGCAATAATGGTACTCCTTCATAAGAAGGATTATTGTGAAGATTAAATGTATTGATACATGCTGGGAACAGTGTCGGGCACATAGTAAATGCACAATTAGTGCCATTATTACTTACAAATCGGCAGAGAAGAAAATAATCAACTCTCTAAGGGTAGAGAATGGTATCTTAGGATGGCTTCCTGGGATCTGAGCTAGGTGTCAAAAGAGTCATAGTAGTCATCTGGGAAGCCAAGGGGAAGGAAGTGAAGGACACATGTCATACTGAAGCAATAGTCCATGTAAAAGCATGGCAGCGTTAAGTACCATGGGGTCTGCTGGAAATTGAAGCATTATGTGTAGTTTGATATTGAAGGGACTCAAAGGGCACGATGGGAGAGAGTACAACAGGATATGATGTTTGAGAGGCAGCAGGATTCAAACATGGAAAGTTGTGTGTCTTTTTTACTTGGACTTTATTCTGTGGGTGATGGGGACATGGTGAAAGGTTTTAAATGGAAGAGACATTCAGTTTGCATTTGGATAACTGGAGTAAGAATCATGGCGGAGAAGGTGCTTGGAGGTAGAAGTTAGTTAGGGTAGTTGTGCAATAGACAAGGTAAGGGAAAAAACTTGGCCTGAGGCAGTCACTGGCAAGGGAATGGAGAGAAAAGACTGGAGGTATGCTTAGTACACAAAATAGATAGGACTTGCTGGTCATTTCAGTTGAGGGTCTGGAAAGGATAGGAATGATGGAGATGGAAAGATCTACGTTGACATGCAAGTTTTTAGTGTGGAAGACCGGGCCTATTGCTTAGGGTCCTGGTGATAAATTCAGATTAGGCCCAATTTTTCCTTATGTCCTATAGGGTTTTTCTTTTTTCTTGTTCCTCATTTTGATCCTTGTATGAAATCTTTAATTATTAGATGTGTGTGTGTGCTGAATTAGAACCTAATTGAAGAAAGACTAAAGAGTAAACATGGGTACATAGTCAGAACTTTTTTTTATCAGTACTTTTGCATTTTAGATACTTGGGTATGGAAGAATAAGAGGAGGGAAGAAAATTTAGGGATGCCAATTGAATAAAGGGAAAAGTTATCAATCATAGCATTTAAGTTTAATTGCAAGTGTACAGAGAAAAAAATGTATCTGGTGAAAATTAAAGAATAAAGAATAAACTATAAAAACAAACAACATTCCATTGGGATCCTCTGGAAGTAACTTGTGCATATAGTTGTCATTGCCTTTTAGAGCTTTGTTACTCCGTGTTTTCAGAGAAGAACATTTGCAACACCTGGGAACCTATTAGAACTGTGGACTCTCAGACCCTGCCCTAAACCTACTGAATCACAATCTGTATTTTAATCTGATGCACGGTATATATATTAACATTTAAGTAGCAGTATTTTAAAATACTATTTTCAGTGGTACCAAGTGCCCACTCATAACTGTAGGATAAAATATATTCAAAATGCAATGGCTTCCATATGAATTTGAAATTCAAGCAAATAAAAATGGGATTCAGGAAAGGCATAGAATGTTGTTGGAAGAGGTTAATGGGAATCAGGATATGTTTTTCAAGACAGAATGTGTAATATCTGTGATTAAGAAGAAAAACATTTTTCATATTTTTTTTGTTATGTCTGCAGGGTATGAACCTGAGCAATCTTTTTTTTTTTTTTAGATGTAGTCTATGAGCAAATTCAAAGTCCTTTACCCTTGATCAAAGGAAGGATGCTACAGGTTAGAGGATTTGTGACTTCTGTTTTCTTAAACTTCTCTTTGTTGACTTTTTTTTTTTTTTTTAGTATTTTGCCTTTGCCCTGGCTGATGCTGCTTGGGTTTCATTAGTTCAGCAGAACCCTCTTCTAACTCTTGCATGATGTAGTGGTTCTAGAACTTCAGTCAGGAACAAAACCTACACTGACTTTTAGTCATCTGAGAGGAATCTATAATATGAGATCCTATTCTTCCTAATCCCTTGATTGCCATGTAAAGGGGCTCTAGAAAATTTGGAAATGATAGAGGTTTATATCTGTTAACATTTAATTGTTAACCTTGTGTAAATGATATGTTGGTGAGAGGTAAGACTAGCCATTAGAGATGAGTTTGAGAGAGAGGGGCTGTGCTGTCCTTTCTCTCTTACTGTCTATTCTGTTCTTATAACCTGCAGACCTTTAGATGTCTTAAGTATTCACTATATGAGCTCTCAATGGCTATTTAGGTACTAAAGGCAACTACTTGAAAGTTGGAAGGTTTGCAGAATTAAATTCTGGTAGGAGCTCCCAGGTATATAAGAATCATGTACGAGCCTGTGTTATGTTTTCCATATATATGTCTGTATCATCTATATCAACATATTTTATCTGTGTTTATATTTCCTCTATTTAATTCTACTTATGGCACTCAAAGTATTCAGATGCTCTAGACTTTCTCCAAAGAGGACAACTAAAATTCTAGAGGTGCAAAAAGGTGTATGTGTGTATATCCCTGAAAGTAACTACTTTCTTGCATTGTTCCACACGTTTTTGCAAACCTTGTGATCTCAGGATTTGAAAAGTAAGAAGGGGAGCTCTTCCCAGTGCTTTAGTTTGTGATTCTGGCCTGTTAAAATATAAATTCCTTAATTTGATGTTCCAGGCTTTCTGTAGCTGATCCCAATTTCATTTTCAATGGTCTGTTAGAATGGTAGATGCACCTTAAGTATTTTTTTTAACATTTTTATTTTATTAGATATTTTTACATTGTCGTTCATTTTTGTACAGTGTTTGATTTCGCCTCTCAGGTTTTGTCCCCATAAAATTACCACCAAAAAGACCCGGTGAACCATCATCATAGATTCTTGTGCTCTTCCCTCCTGTTTTGATCCCTTTCCCTCCCCGTCCCCTGATGAATGTCTCCAATTTATAGTTTGACATTTTAAGTATTAACTTGAGTTTATGGGGCAAATTATGTTAAGTATTAATTCAGATCCACTTCTTTGGATGATTCAAGGAAGTATTTCTCTATTGTCCATTTAATGGAGTGAAGTAGAGGTATATGAGTTTTAAAGAATTTGCTTTTGAAATACATTTTAAAAAAGAAAAAACTAATTAGAAACTTGATGTGTTTTAGGAGTTTCTGGATGCCTGTGTGTTTGGAACACAGTAAATGGGGGAAAATGGTAAGAGGATAGGTCTGAGAGGTAGGTGGGTATTAGATGATATATGGTTTTGAGGTCATGTTAAGGGCCTTTAGATTTTTTTTTTAAGATTTACCTATTTATACAAGAGCTGGGGTACAGGCCAGAGGCGCGGGAGGGTGAGAAGATTCACCAGAAACAGAGCGGGTAGCAGAACAGGCAGACAGACCGAAAGCATTGCTGAGAGGAGCAGCGGGTGAGACAGGAGAGGTCTACTTTGCCATGTGGGTATCCCCCTGGCCAGCTGGAAATCGAACCCACACTGCAGAGGCTGAGGACAGCTCCACAGTTCTGCGCCACGGGGGAAGGGGTTTTTAGATTTTAAGTATGGTGGGAAACCAGTAGAGAGATTTGAGCCCGGAAGTAATATAACATGATTCACATTTTAGAAAGATTCTTTTGTATACTTTGTGGAATATGAGCTGTTGTAGATAAAAACAGAAGCAGGTATATCAGTTAGGAGGCTTTGTGGTAGTCCGAGCAGCAAAATGGTAGTGGTGGAGGTGGTGACAAATGGTCAGATGTATGTGAGTAACACACATGCTGCCTTCACACTTTATGGAGGTATAATTCAATGAAATGCATTAATACAATGAAATGCATTCATTTTACACATACAGTTCAGTAAGTTTGACATTGTATTTATTAATGTAACTGGAACTTTTTTGAAGGTGTGGTTGATGGTACTTAATGATGAATTATAGTAGGATGTAAAGTGAGAGATATAGCAATAAAGACTATATAGGCTTTTGGCCCGAGTAACCAGGTGAATATAATATTAATTACAGAGATGGGGAACACACTTGAGGAGGAAAATGTTTAGTGAGAAGGAGAAATCGAGAATTGTGCTTTCCCTAAAGTTTAGAACATCCAGATGGAGATCTTAATTAAGCAGTTAATTATGAATTTTGAGTTCAGGGGAGAGAAAAGACTGGAGTCTTGTAGTATATAGATAGTATTTAAAGTTGTGGGGCCAAAGATTTTCTATGGTGTTCATATAGATTAAGAGGACTGAAGAATGAGCCTTAGGACAGTTCAACACATAGAGGGAGAGAAGAAAAAGAAAGGCAAGCAAAGGTGACTACTGAAAGCAAGCAGTAGTAGGTAGGAGGAAAATTAGGAGAGTGTGCTTTCTAAGAAATCAAATGCAAAATACATCAGGAAGGAAGTATGCAGCTATGTCAAATAGTGAGCTGTTGAGCAAGATTGGATTTGGCAAAGTATAAATTACTAAGGAATGATTTCAGTGGAGAGGAGTAAAAGTGTGATTAAACTGGTGTAAAGCAACCAACCCATTCCGGGCAGGTTTATGAACGGTTCTAGCAGCCACATGCTCTTCGCCGTGGTTTGTGGTCGCCGTTCTCCTCCGTACACTCCACTCCTCCACCCTTAACACCGCACTCCCACCACCCCGCACTCTGCTGCACCACCCTTATAAATCAGTCTCTCAGCTCACCCCACCTACGCATGCCCACACCCTACTCCAGGTGCCCGCCATCAGGCATGCACTCAGGACCGCAGGGTTCCGTCATCCATCCTAATGGCGGGAGGGCAGAAGAACCTGATACCTCTTACCTTACCCTACAGTCCACCCCCTCAGGGTTTTCTGCCATACAGTCCACATATATGTACAATTTTCTTAGCAAACATAAACAATGCAGCCATGGCCCACAAAAGCAAATGAAATACATCACAAAATGACTAAACTCAATTTTCCTAGGGGCAGAAAGACAGAGAAGTTACCGGTACCAGCAATGGGAGATCCCTCCCATCGGGCAATATACATGCTAATTTGGCATCTGAGGACAATATTGTCGCTGGCATCAGTGGCCTTCCAGGTCGTGAGTACCACACTCGCTTTGCCAGTGAAGAGGCATCAGTGGGTTCTACATGCAGCAGGAGTGGAGAGCTCATAATGGGCCACAGTTATTACAAATGTCCCCTTGAGGATTGCCCGCTGATCTGCCACCCCAGGGTGGGTAACACGCACCCATGGCGGCCACTGCGCAGTTACCCATGGTATTATCTGTAAATCGGCCTCCAGGCCATGACCCCAAGGGGCTCTCAGAGCCACCCACCGCATGTGGGGAGCCTTCACTGTCCAGGGCCATTCCCAGTCCACAGTCTGCCCTGGGTCCACTCCAGTTGGGGCTGGCAATAGGATGTTGCTCTGCTGTCCAAGTCCTGGTTTTAATAAGACGTCTGAAGTCTTTATTTGTAATTGGATGGGAGTAGCGGCATGATGCAGCAATGCCTCCACTGGAGCCAGGCCGCCTTTCCTGCTCCTCTCATTCAATGTCTGCATCACCTCCCATAGACGTCGGCTCCACCCGGCCAGCATCTGAGAGGGGCCAGTGGCTCTTAGTCCTTGCTTCAGTAGGCCATTATACCTCTCTATAATCCCTGCAGCTTTGGGATTATAGGGAGTGTGAAACTTCCATTCAACACCCATGTTCTTGGCCCACTGCTGCACCCGGGTTCCTGTAAAATGAGTCTCTTGATCGCTCTCCACTACCAGCAGATGTCCATATGCAGCACATAGACGCGCCAGTGCTGCCAAAACTGCCTTTTGGTCTGCATGTGGAGCAGGATAAGCTTCCAATAACCTGGTAGCAGTGTCTACACAGGTGACTGCATATTGTTGTCCATCGGAGCGAGGTAGTGGTCCAATGATGTCAATCTGCCAGCGTGTCAGGGGTACCTGCCCCCGCAACACCTGGCCTGTAGATGCAAAAGGTCTCGGGGGGTAAGTCCTGGAACATACTACACATGTTTCACATACAGTCTGAATTTCTTTTAAAGTTACAGGTAGACCCCAGGCGCGCACAGTGGCCCACATTGTCTTCTGCCCTGCGTGGAGCAAGCGTCTGTGTAGCCACTGCACAACATCCCGCCCTGGAGCAGTTTCAAGCCATCAAACCCGGGCTAGGTTGCCTCATCGTTGCCTGGTGAGGCTAATGGGGCATGTCCTGTGACGTGATAAACAGTCACCTGCTTCTGATGCCCCAGATCCCATAGATCTTTCCATAGGGCCTGGCCCCACAATGGCCGATGCATAACTGTCCAGTCATTTAGATTCCATGTGGAAATCCACAGTGTCAGACCCCTATACACAGCCCAACTGTCAGTATAGATTACTGGAGGGGAAGGCTCATGGGCCACCACCATCCATACTGCTCACAGTTCAACCCATTGGCTGCTCTGTCCTGTCCCAGTTTCAAACCAAATAGTGTCTGTTTCTGGGTGGACAGCCACCGCTGTCCAAGAGGCTGGCTGGCCCCGGCTGGAGCCGTCCGTATACCAGGCCTCTGCTGGAATCGGTGCTCGACCCTCCTTGTAGGGACTAGCTTCAGGTTCGGCTTCTATACAGGCTTCTGAAGTTGGTTCCATACTAACATATGTCACAGGACCAAGAACCTCCTGCAACTCCGCCCTTAAGGGGCTAGTTGACAGGGTGCAGCGCTGTTCTAAGTATGCCCCCCACATCACCAAAGTGGGTTTTTGAGCAGTACCACTATGGGGCTTTGTTGTCCAGTCCCGTACCCATCCAGCTATTGGGTAAGTGGTTCTCACTGAGGCAGGGGCTGTGGCAGTTATACTTTCTGTGGCTAGTAAGGCTGCATATACTGCAGCTAACTGTTTCTCAATTAACGAATACCTAACCTCAGCCCCCTTCCAGAGTTGGGACCAGAACCCAATAGGCTGTCGTAGCCTCTCTGATTTCTGCCAGAGTCCCCACCCAAACCCTTTCTGAGTAACATGCACATCGAGCTCACAGGGTCGGGCTGGGTCAAAAACCTGCAAGGGGCCTGAGCAGTCTTTATAGTTTGTTTGGCCATGGCAAGTGCTGTGTCTGCCTCAGCTGACCAATCCCACTTGGCTCCCTTACGTATTAACATATAGAAGGGTCGTAGGAGCTGGGCCATGTGAGGTATAAATGCCCTCCAGTAACCCAGCAGACCCAGAAAGGCTTGCAGCTGCCTTCAGGGATAACCTTTGTCTTACCTGACCAAACAACTCCCAGGAACTTAACTGACAGTCCAGGCCCCTGCAGTTTGCTTTCGTTGATTGCCCAGGTGCATGTTTTCAGGTGTGTTAATAAGAAAGGTACTGCCTTTTCCAGATCTGTAAGAGTCACTTGTCAATAAAATGTCATCAATATAATGGTATAAACGCACTGAAGATGGCTTTTCCCACCGGGCCAAATTTGCTGCCACCAGCCCATGACACAGAGTAGGGCTGTGCAGGTATCCCTGTGGCAGCACAGTAAATGTCCACTGCCAGCCTTCCCAGGTGAAGGTGAACTGGTCTTGACTTCCTGGGGCTATATCTATGGGAAAAAAAGCGTTTGCCAGATCGGCCAGAAAAGGATACATTCCCAGCTCGTGTCTCAGACGATCCATCAAATCTGCCACTGAAGGCACTGCAGCATGCAAGGGGGGAACTACCTTATTCAACTCACGGTAATCTACTGTCATTTGCCAAGAACCATCGGGCTTCTTCACCAGCCATACCGGCGAATTGTAGGGGCTGTGGGCAGTACGCACAATGCCCACTTTCTCCAGCTCTGATATTGTGCCTGTAATTTCTTTGTAGCCTTTGATATTGCTTGGTATTAGTCACTCGCCTAGGGACTGGCAGTTGTAGGGGCGGATGCTTAGCATGTCCTCTCACCACTGCCTTTACCACACGCACTCTAAGGCGAAACTCTCCGACTGTGGTTTCTAGCCATAAGCCACGTAGTACATCCACCCCCAGGATGTACTCCAGGATGGGCGATACATACACTTTATACTCTTTCGGGGGTAATCGCCCAATTCCCTGAGATAGTCTTACTGCTGTCACCTTGACACTCTGGCCTCCATAGCCATCAATATAACAAGTAGACCCATGAAATCTTTCTGGATTTCCATAGAGCAGAGTACATTCTGCTCCTGTGTGTACTAGAGCTAAAACCCTTTGTACGTTAGTCGGGGACCAGTGGATGGCAAGCTCCACATGTGGCCTCCGGTCTCTGCCCGTCCCCTGTGGACGGGTTCCTTGGCCTTCACCCTATTCAAAAGATATCAGGCCATCACCCGAGGACGGGGTTGGCAGCAAGTGGTCTTCCATGCGCAGGGCGTGCGCCTGAGGCCTGGAGCTTCCAGGATCCCCCTGAGCAGCAGTCCTTCTCATGGGTGTGAACCTCTGGTCTTCTCGCAGCTGCTGCCATAATTCCAATAAATATGCATTGGGCTGCGTGTGTATTTTAGTGCCATCTACACCTGCTCTTATTAAATCCATCCACATTTGGTTACAGGTGACTTTCATAGGTTCTGTGATGCCAAGAGACTTCCTTGCCCTCCTTGGCATTCCTTTTGACCTTTCAGAAACTACCCGTATTCCTTTCGGAGAGCGCTGGCTCTCAACTTCGCCCAAGCTGGCTATCATTGTTGTGACGTCATGTATCTGACGTCCCACATAGGGTGCTAGAACTGCCATGAGGGATCCAAATGTAGATGAGGGGGCATTTAATACCAAGTCTCTCATCCCTGCTGTGAAATGCTCGTCGTCAGGACCATGGGTATTCACATTAAACATGGCCTGCCGCATGCCCAATTCCCGAAGTACCTGCACCAGCTCGGCGTACGTCTGCCATCCGCTTACTGTCTCCGGCACGTCTCCTGCATCAGCCCATACTGTCCGTATGGCAGCCATTATCCACTCCAGGAGGGTGTGGTCGCCCTGGCCATACCGCCGGCTGTTCTGCAGCCTCTGTCGCAAGGATGGGTGTGAAGTCATGGAGGCCAGTCTCTCCATCTCTTGAGCCGTGCAAATAATCCCATCCACCCCCAGGTCCCATAAACGTAGCAGCCAGGCTGCCAAGGGCTCCCCTGGTTTCTGGCGGAACTGTTTGACTAAGTCCACCATTTCCGCCTGGGTGTAAGGTGGGTAGGTAGTAAATTCCATCATTTGTGGTGGTCCCGCAGCCTGACCCCCTGGGGCCATGGGTCGCTGCTGCTTCATTTTCTGAGTCACCACCCGGTGGGCCCGGAGCATGGGACCAGCCTCCTCCTCCTCTCCAGAGGAGTCCGGCATCTCTGGGGTCACGGGTTGGTTTGCTACCACCGACTGAGATTCGGGCAAAGGGCCAGCCTCCCTCTCCTTCCTTCCTGAGACGGAGTCTGGCATCTCCGGAAGGGTGGGTCGGTTTCTCCGAACTTCTTCCTCCAGAATCCTCAAATGTTGTTGCTGTAGCCGCATCTCTTCTCGTATCTCTTTTCACATCTCATCCCGTGCTTGCTGGATCCTGGATTGCTCTTTCTGCGTGGACTCTCGCAGAGCTGTGAGAAACACCCATCCCACGGCTCCTGCTGCCTCGCGGGCACTGCATCCACTCAGGGTTTCTTCTATTTCATACAGGACCTGTTGCAGCTGCCCCGGGGATCCATCTACCTCTGGCCATTCCTGGGGAGGTGCCCGCTGGGCGAGGAGGTCGGCCACCGGGTACCATCTGCTCGTGGCCGGCCACCCGGCAATCCCTCCCCAGGTTTCAGAGGGTTTCGTCTGCGTAGAGCCGTCCTGCCTCGAACCGTCCTGCCATCTACGCCAGTTGTAAAGCAACCAACCCATTCCGGGCAGGTGTATGAACGGTTCTAGCAGCCACATGCTCTTCGCCGTGGTTTGTAGTCCCCGTTCTCCTCCGTACACTCCACTCCTCCACCCTGGACACC